TTTGTCTTTTTTGATCAAGCTGAACAACAAATATTTGCAATTACTTTTTTTCATATCCATATTGTATTTCACATTCAAAGAGTCTCACAAGTGTTTATAAAAGGTAGGAAATTCATGACTGATTCATTAGCTATATGTTGCTAAGTATAATATGTAAGATGACATAGCCACATTTATGGACATAAGTAGATCATTTTCTAAGGGTAGAATATCTGGAATAAGATTTTTATATAATATGCTGACATTGTAAACCTCCCAGAGAGTGCTATAAAGCACTATGGGGCAGTATACAAGTCTAAGAACTATTGCTATAATGATTGTATTCACCTGGGTTTTTTATCCAGCTGTAAAATCCAAAAAAGTGTCAAAAAGAATTGATAGTAGAATTCAAGATACTTGATCGCAGCCATCTGCCCTAATGATTGCATCAAGAATGACATTATCCTTCAGTTATATTTTCAAAGACAAAAATTGTATATCCATTTAATGGAAATTAATCCTCCCAAGTGTCATTGTAACACATATGGCATCCATCTATATCAACCCTTATGCCATATGTCTTTGTACTTTCCTCTCAAGTTTTATCAACTTAACTCTACTGGTATATGAAACAAGAGTCAAAATTGCTGTTAATTTAATCTATTCCAAAAGCACCACAATAGTTGATCAGTTTGATCAGATCCATTTAAAGGCGAAGACAAACTAAGCATGCAGTTCTTGCTTTGTTTTGTTTTCTTACAAGGCTTAGGAAGAATGTCATGGTGAATACACACGTTACAGACATTTAAGTGGGGGAAGAAGATAATGAGGTAATGCCTTCCTGGACCAGGACATTCCATGCAAAGGTTTAATCTTCACACACCAAAGCCCAAACATTGCAACATAGGGAGCAGTGTAGTATAATGGTCAAGGCGCTATATATTAATGTAATCCACTTTCAGCAATGGGTGATTTCGGGGCTGGTCCATCTCTCTGCCTATCCTATCTTCACAGGGTGCTGATGCTGATTGTTTAAAATATGAGAAATGAACATATGTATTTTTCCTTGTACTCCCAAACAAATAAAACCAAATCAAAATTGGTATCCCAGACTGTTTGAAAATGAAGCCCACCCATACCAAATCTGTTTCCCCCCCCCATCAATTTAGGCTTTGAACTGGGGTAAAATAGCATGACCTGATTACTGTGCATTCCTTCCAGTCCAGACTTTCAGAAGATATCTCAGCTTTCTTCGCATAGCGGAGAATGACAAGCTGCTTGGAGGATCTTAAAAGACTAGACTATTTCATTGTGGCTCTTATTGCAGTGGGGCAGGTTGGGGAAGGAGAAGATTCTAACCTAGCTTCAAGTCCATTTTTTGAGCTTGCAGTGGTAAAAATATAGTCAAAGAAGACTTGCTTTCCAATAGTAGGACTCACAAAATGGGAGAATGCAGTTGTGCTTTCTTTTTGCCACCCACTTTTCCTACTTGGATTGAATAATTTTATGCTACGTGGTTCATATATATTTTATGCATGTGCATATAAGCTATTACTTAGGGGTCATCTCTTTATCATCCATGTTTCTCTGAAATGTGTTTCCTAAAAATGAACCTAAATTGTTTGTTTTATGTTTGTTTGTTTTATTAAATTTGTATACCGCCCTACTCCCGAAGGACTCAGGGCGGTGAACAGGCACAGAATAAAATACAGAAATACAAAAGTTAGAAACAATTTAAAACCAAATTAAATAATTTAGCCCAAGACAATTAAAAATCCCAATAATTTAAAACAAATTAAAATTTCAGTTTAAAAATTTTAAAGAAAGGGGAGAAAAAATTGTGAATTCAAGCCCAAAACCGAGACCTAGTATGGATTAAGCACTACAGGAGAATCCTATATTTAGAGCCAGGTAGTGGTTTTCTTGTTGAAAGCTAGCAATCAAAGTTGTTTTCTCACTAGAAAGCAACTTTCCTTTTTCCTCTACTGATCAGAAAACCTTTTATTTTAGCTGTGCCTTCTTCACTAATTTTCCTTTTATTTTTTGTTGTTCCCTTTCAGCCTCAAATGGGCACCACTGTACCTCTCACTGAGGCTCATGCCTTGATTAATTTTAAGTACCTTCACCTTGCACACAGGGCAGTGCTCACAGTCCATTTCAGCAGTTGCTAATTTGGCAATAATGGTAGTCTCCACAATGGCAATTAATGAACAAAGGAAGCTTGCACTTTGTGACCTAGCAACCAGGTTCCCTTTAAACTGGTTTCTCTCATTTTCTCTCTTTCTTTTTTGTGTACAAGCCCTCAAAGTCCCAGAGGACAGCAGAGTTAAGTTGCTTTGTGTCTGTGATCTTTACTATGGATGGCAATACTTGCTTTCCTTTTCCTTTCTTTTCCTTCCTCTCTCCTGGTTTCATTAATTACTTGAATTAATTTACTCATTATTGCATTGTGTATTTAGTTCCAAACATGCAAATTTCACCAGATTTAGTATTACATTTAAATAGCTATCATTCTCTCAAGGCTCCAAAATTCTTTATTAAGCAGCAACCAGCATACTATTTTGCCTGTTTATTTTTTATTTTAGAGCAACTGGATTAATCCAAGTATCTTGTTGGTCTTTCTCCATCAAAAATCATAACATACTGTTTACATTCTTTACTTGCCATCTATCACTTACTGAGCTCTTTATCTTCTTGCATGCGTTGCATGCGTTGAAAAGCCTTAATAAATTTCCATTTAGAAACATCCATTATTCACCCATTTATTTGAATGAGTTCCTTTTCTGGCTTTGCTTGGGTTATGCAGTTCATGCAGTAAAAGAAAACTGGACTGAGAAGAGAGAGGAACCATTTTCTGGGGGCGGGGTGTTTTAATGCTTTGTCATAATGTTCAGAGTAAAGCATAGTAATCAGTAAGATCTGCATTAAAAGCAAAATACTACTCTGGAAAAATATTCAGCATTGCCACCATTCTTTCAATTCACAGCTAATACATATGAAAACAAAACTGAAAACTCTTTCCAGCACATCTTTTATCCCCCTATGCATGCTCATTTTTTCCTTGCACACATTTCTCTCTATATCCCACCATGATCTTTCTCTTTATTTTGCATCACTAAAGCCTTTGAAACTTCGGGTGTGGTAATTATCATTTGCTAGTTCTGCACCCTGCAACCTTCCCTGTTGTGTTGCGTATCTCAACCATTTCAAAATGCTCTAAGTCTCTTTGCACATCATCCTGCCCCTTTTCTTTCTGCATCTTAATGTTATTTTTCTGCTTCTGGACTATGATATCTTTTTTTAGCACATTTACTGGCCCACTGTTCACTGCATCCATAGGCAAAAACTAGCAGTGATGATGCCATTAGGACAAAAGCTATATTCTTATGTACTTGAACTTTACATTGTAATATTGTGACCCAAGTTTCATCACTTGGCACCCTTCCCCAACCCATGGATGTTTATGACTGCATCCCCAGTTCTAAGTCTTTGCTTCTTTTCTTCCTTTAGTCTCTTTCATAGTGTTGTTTATTAGTTTATTTGTGGGCTGTATTTAAAGAATTAAAATAGCCACAGTAAATTATATGGAAAAAAACATAAAATTTAATCATCCATGGTCAAATGTAAAAAACAAAACCCATAATATAGCAATAAATAACTCCTGCAGCAATAAATCATCAGATAGCACCACTCATTATTCCTCAATTCATTTCTGGAAAAAAAAACCTATTTTGACCAATTTCCACACAAATAGGTGACTAATCTGTCTTCCAGAAGGATGATATTCCTTCATAATGTTCATTTTTTTTCTTTTTCCTTCCCTTTTCTTGCACATTGTTCTTCTTAACCATTTTAAGCAGGAACTACAGATATAATGCAGTGTCAGCAGGTCCCTGAAGGTTAAGCAAGCTGTACAATATGGCTGCCTATCAAAAATGGTCTGGGAAAGGCAGTGCTATTGATCTGGGAGAACCAAACCTGATAGAGTGACTCTCCCTTTTTACACTTCAGGCAGCTTTTGTTGACCCTAATTATTAGAAAGAATTGGGAAAGATTTGTAAACAATCCAGGCCAATTATCTTCTTCCCCTGCCCATTGAGATGATTTATGAAAACACAAAATCTAAGTACATAGCATACAGAAATCCTTTAGCAATCTCGCTTAGAGAGATTTGTTCAGCTAACAATAATACGCCTAGTTGTGTTTTAAGGGCATCTTTTGTTTTTTTGGTTTTTTCTCCCTGTGGCTTCTGCTGTGTAGATCTACTCTAGCTTCTCTGTGGGCAGCTTTTTGTGCAACACCTTTTCTGGCAAGTCCTCTAATTCACTTTTCATTTATTCTGCAAAAAACCCTATGCTGTTTTCCATGTCTTCACAAGACAATCTCTTTAGTCTTCAAATGTACCAGTGAAGGAGGTTGCCTATGCAAATGACTAGGTTTTCCAAATGCATTCTGTGCCAAAAAGTTGAAGGTTAAAATACTTGAGACATTTTCATAAACATTCCTGGAAACAAATTAATAGTCTTTTTAGCCCTTTAAAAGAAAATTCTCAGTGAAAAAAATATATAGATATAGCCCAGTAAACTTGGTAGACATACTGTATTTAGGATTTATGTGGTTATTGAAGGAGGGTTACTTTCTTTATGAAACTAGGATTCATTTGTCTTAGCAAAGCCTATGTCAGTTGTGAAATTAAATTAGGATCTTGGGGGAATTTTAGATCCTGCTATTTTGATTCCCTCAAGTTTTACAATAGTACTATTTTTGAGTTAAATATGCGCCCAGCTTTTGTAGTTTGTTTTCTGTGCCTATGAAATTAACATCTAATTTACTAGGCTTCATTGTCATGCATAGTTCTGCATAATTATGAATAAGAGGTGACTTCTAGTTATGTAAGTTCAAGATCTAGTATATAATATAATGGGTACTAATTGCCGTTCTACTTTAAAACTTGGAAAAAAAGCAGCTTTGTTACAGCTTTTTCTATTATTGAATCTTTTTTTATTATTCCGTTCCTTTAGAATCTCCTAGTAAGGATATTGGTCCCACCCTGGGATTAAAAAAGTCAAGTTCCCTAGAAAGTCTCCAGACAGCTGTTGCTGAAGTAAAAAAGAATGAGCTCCCATTCTACAGACCTAGACCTCACATGGTCCGTGGTAGGGGATGTAACGAGAGTTTCAGAGCTGCCATTGATAAATCCTATGATGGACCTGAAGACATGGCAGGAGGTAGGTACCACAAGACTTTATTAAAGAAAACATTCTTTTTCAATAAATCTATGTTGTCCTATGAAAATTCATCTATAAAAAACTGATTTCAAAGAAGAGTTTAATGCAATTTTGCATATATATCAACCATAGTCTCATATGGAACCATACATATTATACTGCAGATTATGTAGGGAACTATATTGGGATTCTTGTATTGACCTTAATCTCTGTGAACATGGCTGGAGACCATATATTGAACTGATCAATTAGCAGACAGTTTTCCATCTTGATATATGTGTACATGCATGCATATATCTGTGTCCAATTCTTTGGACAGCTCTCTCATTCCAATATAATGACCAAAGACCAGCCTTCTTTCCATGTTGATGCATTATCTAATGTTGTATCTTTTTTCTGTGTGTGAGCTTACTAGGTACTATCTGAATCTAGATTTCAATAGTGTGTATATATTTCTGTTTGAATGTAAAGGGTTGATAAACTTTGTACCAAGCAGGATATATATGACCAAATACAATAAGTGGTCAATAATATGAACAATGGTATACAGTTAGATTTAGCTATACGTACTTTATGGTCTCTTTAATACAAAGAATTAGATGAACATCCATTGTAATGCAACCTTTGCAGTTATAACAGGATCATTGGAAATGTTTTTTGTGTGCAATTTATAAAAAGTTGTTTTGATTAAACACATTAATCAGAAAATATATACTGGTAATCCTCGATTTACAATGACAAATTGAGCCCAAAATTTCATTTGCTAAATGAAACAGTTGTAAAGTGAATTTTGGCCCATTTTATGACTTTTCCTGCCACAGTTGTTAAGTGAATCACTGCAGTTGTTAAGTTAGTAACATGGTTGTTAAGTGAATCTGGCTTCCCCATTGACTTCGCTTGTCAGAAGGTTGCAGAAGATGATGACAAGACCCCAGGGTAGGACACTGTAACCATCATAAATATGAGTCAGTTGCTAAATGCCTGAATTTTGATCATGTGACCATAGGGAGGCTGCAATGTGTGAAAAACAGTCATAAATCACTTTTTTAAGTGCTGTTGTAACATTCAGCGGACTTACCTCTACTGTATGTAGTTTATAAGATTATTGTCTGTACTTGCTGATTACTTTTCTTCTTCTGCAGACGGTCTGTCAGATAAGAGTTCCCTTTCTGGTCCAGAATATCAGAACTTTGCAAAAGCCTTTCACATGAATTCTGAATTAGAAGATATGGAAGGGAAGACAAAAAAACATAAGAAGACCAAAGAAAAATTGAAAACGAAAGAAAAAAATAAAAAGCCTAATCTCAAAAACAAATCAAAAATCAATGAAAAGGACAAAAAAGAGGAGAATGACAATCCTGAAAGAAAAACAAAAAAGAAAAGTTTGGGTGCTATGTTAAGGTAAAAAGTCTTTTTTATATCACTTCCTGATCTTATATTAATTTGAGCTTGATTTATTTGGCCTAAGGCCCCTCAGTGAGGTTGAGTAGAACTCAAGCTCTATATCCATTGAACGACATTTACTATAAATGAACACTATATATGCTAATTTTGCTAATACATCAGTTAAACTGCATATTGGAAAAGGAGAATATATTTTTCAATATGTACTTGTTAATTATTTTGTTGGCACTTATGACCTATTTTTCCTCAAACCCAAAAAAAAAGGCTAGAGAGATGTTATAACAAATAAACTATGGATTTTGGAGCAAGCACACTGAAAGCAGTGAGACCTGATTGAGTCAAGTTTGAATGAAATCTTACTGATTTGGGTTGGTTTGCTTTTAGGATGACCAGTTCTAATTCAGACTTGTTTAAAGTGCTTAAGTATCATAGCGTTATAAACCACATGAACTAAATATTGTTTAATGAAAAGTAGATATGTCTGTCAACTCCGAAGCTGGCCTAACTGAGGCCATCTTGCAGGCTTCAGTGTTGCCACAATGGTAATGAGGGATACGGAGGGGGGGAATAGAGAATGTGGAGCTCAGTATTCACAGTATTGACTGCATCCATGCAGCTTTCTTGGGAGTGTTATGGAAATGATTTGTCATTGCTGTCTTGTGATACATTTTTTTTACTTCCTTATCTGAGAAAAGGTAGGAAAGAAGATCCTTCCAAACTCTTACAGTTAATAAAAGGGACAGAGAAACTCAGAAGTGACTATAGATTACATGGCAGAAAATATTTGCCTATGTTAATGCTGGCATCTTCTGCTTTTGGTGGTGCATGTTTTTGAAGTCACCCCTCAGCGTTCTAGAGATGTTATGAAATATCTGCTTTCCCAGAATATGGATTTGCTGAATGCTTTTAGTTATTTCATTTGACACAATTTTTAAGTTGATTGGGGTTTTTTTTTCCTTTGATACCTGCCTTAAATGTTAGCCATTCAGCACCACTTCATGAATTCTTGAGTTTTATTTCTGAATGGCCTGTACTGCCATGGGAAGAAGTAAACATGTCTTTGCAAACAGAGGAGAAATGTTCCCAGCCTCTGAAAGAACCCCTCAAAAGTGCAGTGATGTCTGTTCTGTTCTCCAGATGAATATACAAAAACATTAGATATATTGTTATTGTTTTTTTCAGATATTAAAGATACCATTTTGTGTTCATGTACTTCTTATTTCATTTCATTCTTCAAATTAAAGAGAAGTACTGAACAAATTTGTCTTCCATATCTTGCAAGAACAACAACCTCCTTCATCAGACTCTCAGGCAATTAAATTTGATTTGACGTAAGAAGGCACTTTACTGTTAATAAAGTTTAATGTCATTTTCCTCTGTAGCTTATTCAGAATGCTAAAAGATAACTATTTAGTTGATAAATATTTAGAGTTACCAAGCTGTATTAAGTGTTTCAGATTTAAGCAGTGGTGGTTATGTACCTGCAGGCCTCAGATGCTATACTGGAGATTGTCTCTTCTATCACAATTATATCTTCAGGAAAAATATATGCATATCATGCTAAGGGAACTATAGGAATTGCATGTTTATGTAGAAGACCAGGTACTTTTATCTTTCAGGGTTTTTGATATCACCTACCAATGTTTTGGTTCCATTTATCATTTTCTTCATGATTGCTAAGTATTGCACATGTTTTACTTGTCCATAAAAATGGCATATTATTGAGTTGGCTAGATTGAATAATGTAATAATGTAATGTTCATCACAGACTTAGTTAATTTTGTTGTGTGCCAAGAAACTTTGCTATATCATGTCTTTCTTGGCCAAAAAGCCAAAACTTTAACATCATTTCTTTAGTTAAAAGGTTAGTTAAATGGAAGTTGGATTTTTTAAGTCACCAAGAGTATATGACATCTGTCATAGTACACTGTTTCTCTATGGCTTGATCCCAGAGCAGTTGTTAAAGGCACAATGTATAATAAATGCAATTTGACTGTGACTCAGTTATTACCTTTTTCAGATAGTGGTTGTAAAATTTCTGGGTTTATCCTTCACTTTTTATGGGTATAAAGGTACGTTAACTAATGGACTGTAGCCATACCTCTGAAATTTTAATTCCTAGGTCCCTATAGGCAACCAATAGACAAGGGTTGTGGCGTTCAGCTTTATAAAGTGTAGACCAACTGTGTACCAGACATTTTTCATAGAAGGGACAAAAGCCATAATTGTGCATGTGAAATATAAAGTCTTTTACACCATCTTTAGTCATGATATGATCATTTTAAAACTGTTAGTGTTGGAACAGATCCATATTTTTTCCACTAGTCCAGTGAGCTTAATTATGTTGGTGGAAGTTGTAATGGCTACATTGTCAAATATTACCAGTATATAGTACCAGAGTAGTATTTCAATAAAAAGTTATTTTATATCAGCAGCACAGGAAAATTAATAAAGTACCTGAGTGCTAAGCATTATTTTCTTCCTGTAGAAATACTATATTTTCTAGTAATAATTAATCTTAGACTATTTACTCTCATTTTCACAGTATGAACCATTTTGTCTCCTAATTTGCCTATATTGCTTTGAGCTAAGCATCTCAGCTATTTTAATTTTTCATTTTAGCTCAAGTCAAGAAATATTTTCATTACTTAATGAAGACATTCTTTGCAACTGTACTTTTTTTGGGGGGGGGGGATCAACCACATTGACTGCATAATCATTTGCTGAAGAGCAGTACCATTCTGTCTAGTTTCTACAGCCCTAAGTCAAGAGAAGCAGGCTAGTAATGAGCCACTCATACCCTCTACATCAGGGGTGTTGAACTCAATTTCATTGAGGGCTGCATCAGGGTTGTGTTTGACCTCAGGGGGCCAGGGTGGGCATGGCCAGCTTGTTGTCACTAGTCATGGAGGTGCTTGTGGGGACCTGAGCACTCTGCTAGCGAAAATGGGCTCCCAACAGCCTCCTGCAGTCTTCTGTCAGTGAAAATGGAGCTCAGGGGGCTGCACACAGTTCTCCCAGGCCCCCTTATCAGCTACAATGGCCTCCTGCAGCCTTCTGCCAGCTCCCCCCAAGCTCTGGTCTTGCTGGCAGAGGCATCGCGGGCCGGTCCTTCGCCATTTCCAGGGCGGCCCCACGAGCCAGATCTAAGCATCCCGCAAGCTGGATCCAGCACCCAGGTCTTGAGTTTGACACCCCTGCTCTAAATGTAACCAGGTATACCTAACCAGGCTGCCACAAGTGATACCAGGTTTAAAAGTGCAAATCATCTCTTCCAAAAGTATTTGGAGATCCTCTTATTTTTCCCTTACACACGAAATTCAGTATTTCATCTATTTCACAGTTCATGAAATCTCACATCCTATGAAATCAGTTTTGGGTACTATACC